CCCTCCCGAATAATTAATGAGTTTTTGAAGTCGTTCAAAGGCCTCCAATTCGGACTTGACGGGATTTCAAAGTCCTTGCAATTAGTTCCAGTCCTCGGCTAACGCCTCGGACTGGAACTAATTGCGCGGACTTTGAAACCCCGTCAAGTCCTCATTGTCGGCCTTTAAACATTACATAACTACCCGTTGAAAGAACATATTATAATGAGTGAGATCTGAAAGTTTCATTGCCCTTGCATTTAAGGACCAGAAATTACAGGTGTTTGAAATTGCAAAGGTTTGAGTGAAAATCAGTATTGAGGCCTTACCAGCCTCGTTTTCACGTTTTCGGTAGGTTTTAAGTCCTCGTACCTCTGCCGACATTTTACCATTTGAAAKTAAAAAAACGCTAATTCACTAGTTTAACTATACTCTTTCTTATCGTGAAAACAGAGTTTAAAACATGGACCGTTTAAGGTGCTCATTCCCAGTCTTCTGCTCGTGTTTCATATGGTCAATGACAAAGTAAACAAATACTTAAATTCAAGACTTTGTAGGTTTAAAGCTTGCGTAAACATTCAAAAAACCTACGAGACTGCAACGTTGAGCATTGTGCACGTTCTAGCTAACTATKCCTAGGGAGGGGGTTAAGGTAAGGTCCTCTAAAATGGCACTCTTGGRAAGGAACATATCAATTGCAATCAATTTTAACTTTATGCTTCATTGTTTTCTAAAAGTTGTACTTTTTTGTCTACATGGATGCATGTTTCTTTATATTTCTTTTCTTTGTAGAAGAAAACTTTACTTTACCTTGTCATTCTCTCCCCATAGGACCAGAGCTGGTACTGTAATGTCCTCCAAGACATTTTGTAAGAGGAAACGATGATCAGGGTGTGTGATGTCTAGTAAAACTGAAATAAGTGACATGTTGAAATGGGAATGAAAATGTTAATTTTCTTATTGTCGCTTAGGGACTGGGAAAAACATGGGATTTAGTGAATGCATCTTGGAAATAGTCAAAACCCCAACAGCATCCAATACACCTCTTTTGAAATTCTAGCATATTTTAAAAAGGCTGTAGCTTGTTCACTATTTAACTGATATTTCACCTCAAATTCTGGGATTTTGAATTTCTCAAGGTTTTTCTTTCCATGTAAGTCTTATCTGACAATTATTAAGTTAAAATAAAATAACTCTTGTATAAGAATGATATCACTTTTTATAGAAGCAAAGACATTGAAAATTCTATCAAAGTGAGCCAAAGTGCCYGCATAGTTTTAGAAAATCAAAGTGACAATCCCAATTCCTTATATTTTTGCTAATCGAAATGGTGGACCTTTTCATGAATTGGTCTACATTACCATTACCACCCACACCTTTATTACACACTTGTCCTTTTCAATCTATATTTACTGTCTTGCATTTTACCTTTTTTATAAAATTCATTGAAGGGTTTTCTGACTTCAGTGAATAACCTTGCAGCAAAGTAAGGCAAAGGGATGTACCGATGTACTACTTTTTTCCACATGGTAAGAAAGTCTTCAGTCGTTTCAGGAATCAAGTAGTTTCTTTCCCCTTTGTGCAAAACATCTTCTAAGAATTCACTGAGATGAGGGGCATCAATGCCTGCCGGACACATCATTATCACAGATGACAGGTTGCTTGGGTGCCTTGAAGCATAAACTCCTACAATATGGCCACCCATTGAGATCCCAGCCAGGTGAAACTTTCTCTGATGAAGGCCTATAGCATGTACAAACTGTGTGCAAAAAGTCAATTTTAGGAAATTGGGATTTGATTCCTTAACATCTAAATTTCCCTGTTATAACTTCATCACTGACAAAACAATAGAGCAGTAAGTTGATTCTCCTTGGTTCATTTCTAAATTATTCCTTAAATCACATAATTTGAACATACAAAGCACAAATTCTATGAAACTTTACTCTGGCACATTTTTGAAAATCAGAAAGAAATGCATAACATATAGCATGCATACCTGATGCAATTTAGCAACTTGTGTTGGTATGGTATGGTCTCCATCATGTTTCCTGGTTGATTTTCCATGTCCAGGAAGGTCCAGTGCAATGATGTGCTCTGTTTTGGGAAGGGCATGTGACATGTAGCACCAAGCATCTTTACTTGCAGCAAATCCATGAATAAGTACAATTGTTTGATTTGTATCACTTGGAAGTCCTCTTTCCATATAGCAAAACTGGAAATCACCAACATCAATTGTCTTTGGTGTGAATCCTGCTCTGTACATGTTCCATCTAAAATAACAAGTAAATTACAGAGTAGGTATAGGGGCTATTGGAATTAGATTTGTCAATGTAATATAATACAAAAACAAAGGGAATTAAGATTGAAAGAAAGAGAGGAAAGAGGAAGGATAGGAAATTTAAGGATAATATTAATAAAAATCAAGAATTTTTACATTGAAGTAATATTGAATAATGGTGCATCTTATTTAATTTGAGTCTGCTTGCCAGGAGATGAAAATTATATTATTTTGTGATATGACTACATGGTATGGATTTGATGAAAAGGATAAAGTTTCAATATACAAAATACAAAAAAACAAAAGAACATTTTTAAATGCAAATGAGTATAAGTTAGAAATTTCACTTTTCTGAATAATGCAAGACAAACTTGTCTATTTACCTTTGGAAAATCTCCACTAGAAGTGATGGCCACAAAAAATAACCAAGCAGGCAAAATATCCAGACCAGAAGTGTCAAGCATGCAGTCATCAAAGCCAAAAACACCAGAATTTGAGAAAATTCCATTCTGTTAATATTTGTGCAGTCTAAGCTGGCTTGTTGTTGTTATAACGTGTTATGAGTAGTGCGAGGCGAAGTAAAACAACTTAGAAAAATAAGTGCCAGAATATCTACATATGAAGGCCAATATTATATCAACTTCATCAAACATTTATTGTTTTCATACTGTCGTTCGTTTGAGTATTTGCATTAAGATAATGTAAGTCTTATAAAGACTTTAGTCGAATCCAAGAGTCCAAGAATCCAAAAGTTGTTGTACTGGTTTTGACTTGTTTTGATTTGTCTAGTCAGCCCTCCGCACAGCCTAATTTAAGAAATGTAACAAAAAAGATATTAGGTGAAGCAGATACTAAACAATAAAACTGGAGGATTTCCTCATTAATTAGTCAACAATTACTATTATTTTTATTACGTAAGGATTTAGTACCTGTCTGGATTCTGTCTTGAGGTTGGCAGTGCCGCATATGATAAAGAAAATGTTTTCCTTTTAGAATTAAACAGCAAAATCTTCGCGTCGTGGAATTAAAGACATGCCTAAAACAATTACAATTTGGAATAAACTCWATATTTACAATATAAACTGTTGTCATCTATCGGCCATCTTTAAAATGGACCATACCCTTCTCGGCCTAATTTACACAGGAATCCCACAGTTCCAGGGTAAAAATTCAATCTCCCACGTGGARCGAAAACGAAAATGGATGCTAGGGAGTTTAGAAGGTTAATCAAACCCAGAGAGCTATTGAATCAAATCCATTTCAAATTTGAAGATTCGATCGTTTGATCCTGTCCTAAAAGTGTTCTGTCGTTTCAACGATTTTGTTGGAAAAAAAAGAAAAATAGCTCATTAACATTACAGAACTACAGCAATATTACTCAAAATGAAGGTAATTTGCATAACCGCCTAATTGGAAAGACATTAAATATTCTATCTAACACCTCTGGTGGTGGCTGCAAAAATAACAACATTCCTCTATGTGCAAATGAAAGTCACGCTAACCATGGAAATCTTATTGACATTAAAATTCCAAAACCGATCCCTGGAACTGAAATATCGACCAAGAGCTCGCGTAGCTGTCTGGAACGCTAGATCTATTAAGAACAAAACGAGTGTCCTGGCTGACTTTATTATATCCCATAACCTGGACATCATGGCTGTTACAGCGAATAAACTATCAAACAGCAAAATGGAATTTTTTAAAGCCGCTTTTACTTAGTCACAGTTGTCTGTGAATTTGTTATTTGAAGCTCTTTGAAATTTTCATGATACTTTAGGCGTCCAGTATACTCATGCAAGGAAACGCTCTTGTACAGGTTTCAAAGTCAAGGGAGCCCGCGCGCCTAATACACTACAATAATGGGATCTAGAAAAGACATGCAAACCAGAAGGGGTTAGTCACGAATGGACCAGGATCCGACTAATCACCTCCCTCGTGGCTGGGCGCAACGGTCATCCATTCGGATGGGTGACCGTTTTGTACTCGATTTTTTTTCCCTTTTTTTCCGCTCCTGCTTCTTCTTCTTTTTCTTTTCTGCTCTTCTTTTTTTAACATTATGATTTTTGGCCGCACTTTAAATTGGGACAAATTATTCTAGATTGATACAAGATAATCCGTTTCACTCCAAGACAATGTACCACCTTTCTGAACAGATCGCAAAGACGGTCTTTTTTCCATTTTTATCATGAATTGTAACTTATAAGAATAGCACTTCTGGAAAAGGGAAATATTCNAAGCTCTTTGAAATTTTCATGATACTTTAGGCGTCCAGTATACTCATGCAAGGAAACGCTCTTGTACAGGTTTCAAAGTCAAGGGAGCCCGCGCGCCTAATACACTACAATAATGGGATCTAGAAAAGACATGCAAACCAGAAGGGGTTAGTCACGAATGGACCAGGATCCGACTAATCACCTCCCTCGTGGCTGGGCGCAACGGTCATCCATTCGGATGGGTGACCGTTTTGTACTCGATTTTTTTTCCCCTTTTTTTCCGCTCCTGCTTCTTCTTCTTTTTCTTTTCTGCTCTTCTTTTTTTAACATTATGATTTTTGGCCGCACTTTAAATTGGGACAAATTATTCTAGATTGATGCAAGATAATCCGTTTCACTCCAAAACATTGTATACCACCTTTCTGAACAGATCGCAAAGACGGTCTTTTTTCCATTTTTCCATTTTCATCATGAATTGTAACTTATACTCAGGGCAGTTAAGGCATGGCTCTTTGAAAAATAGCGAATAWTAACCAAATTTATTCCAAAAAATTGGCCTTTCAATAGAATTCTATCAAACTTGGCAAGTGTGTCTAGGTTGGTAAGTAATTATTTTTTAGGGCTTTTGTTGACATGGAAACGATATCACGTGACTTTAGGACGGCCATCTTGGATTTTTCTTTTGAGACTCTTGAAAAATATCACCTTTCTTCAGTTTCCCTTGTACGCGTAGTACTCCGCCTTGGTAAAGTGCTGTTTGACCAGCGGAATTGTCCCATGATGCGCAGATGTGGTGCCAATTACCATCATTGATGGACACTTTTGTTTTCCTAAGTCATAATGAGATAAAGATAACTTAATAAACAATTGCAGGCTCATTTAGGACTACTCTAGATGACGCGATCAATGATTCACAAGCACACTCGTCAGAATTCAAAAATATAATGAAACGAGGTACATATGTCCCGCGGTGCACCGCTGACACGATATTTGTCGCTGATTCGCAGACCAACATATTAACAATAGCTTTTGGTTCGGCTGCACGCAGTCTACCAGAGCAATGGTGCATGTGTTAAACTATACATACTATGCTAAGCGAGCAAAGTTAAGAAAATTGCATATTTCAATATTCATTGATATTTACGCCACAGTGCACTTCCAATCCAAAAGAGCAGCGATTTGGGATTATTCAAAAGAATCTCATTATGTGATCCTGGTACAGCATAGCTTGTCATGGTTCTGTGGTCATCTTGATTTTCAACTGGTGCAATCATCCAAAGTCACAAAGTAAAACTTGTCATGCGAGGCAATTTTCTGTCAACCACGATATAGTCGGTGGTTGATTCACGAGCAAATTTGATGCTGTAGATTARTGTAGAATAACASATAATAAACCGGGTTAATATTTGTTCACTAAAAGAAAAGATAGCTCAAAACAAAGCACATTTACTTGCCAACCTTGAATGTGTCCATTGTAATGCATTAAACTATTTATGGGGTATAGAATGTAAAGACGGCTGCGACTCTTGAGATTACCCTCTTTGCCTGAAAGATATGRTTTTTCAGGTTTTTCGAGTGTTCCATCTCATGAGTGAGTAAAGAAGCGCCCCATGTTCTGTACATTATATYAATTCAACTTTAGATCTATAAGGCAAAAATTAGGGCAATTGCGTACGGAGTATCCATGGTAACAAGTTTTTTTTCCACGTAATTTGAAAGATATCATGCAAATCTATGTACATTCTCTGTATATTTCACTATAGCTTTAATAGAACGGGACACCATGCCAAGTTCATTACCTCAAATACCTCAAAGCATGATCTCAGTAAATCAAAACGTAACACTCTTTCACGAAAATAAGTAAAAGCTAAAAAAAAGAAAAGAAAAAAAAGAAAAGAAAAGAAAAGAAGCAAAAGGAAAAAAAGGACTGAAATCTTTTTGAAATAATGAGAATGAACGACGACGACATAAAAATATAGAAGGTTAATAAAGAGAGTTTGAATTCCATGCAACAGAAAACGAAGGTGTAGTCAATGTTTCGCATGCGTACGTGAAAACTGTTTTGATAAAAATAGATAGTCTATAAGAAAACACACCAAATCAATATAGAAATAGAAATACATCCATCCAAAGGAGTACAATTTACCAGGCTTAAGCCCAAACAGTAGACTAAAATGCGAGCAAGATTTGTCTTTTGCATCATTCCATCCAGCTAGTAGTACTTTCGCGGTACCGAGTGAACTGAAAGCAGCCTGTATTACTGTTTTCTGTGGTTGAAGAGTAACAAATAATTTTTCAACGTCATCTACATCTGGAGAGTATTCAAAAGAGTATAAATGGGGTTACTGGCAGTTAGTTAAAGAGCAGAGAATGGGATTATTTGCTTTCTGTGCTTGAGGTAAACATATTTTTTCTAAGTTAATTGATCTTATCGGACAGTTTTCAAGAGTGCGTAAACGGTGTGTTCTGCATAAGTCAAATTAATGTTTTGGAATCAACAAAACAAAACCATCACGTTGTTCTTTACAATTTACAACCTCCCATGAAGGTTTGACGTCCAAGAAGTGAGTGGTGTTAAAATTCTTGATTGTTAAAAATCTCATTGCATAACTGTTTCTTTACCTCATACTAGTTTACTGCTATAGTTTCCACTCTTTTTGGATGGCCTATTCAAAAGAATAAGAGTTGTTCCATAGCTCTTAACAAAATAAACTTTGCGTTGTCTGTTTGTCCACTACTTTTTAGAAAACTTTGTTAAAATTCATGTCAATTAACTCACAGGTCTGCTGGATAATGGATATAAGAATGTCTTGACCTATTCTAACTGTGATTTGCTGTATTTTATCTACATGTATATCGAAACACAGTTTCAGTACTCTTATTGATCGTTGAATGCTATCGCTAATTCGGTTTGGGTGCACCTCCGGCTCAGTATTGCTAACAAATTGCTCACGGTATTTCGTCGTATGTTCTCTTAATTGAAACACTTTTGATGTCATTAATTGTTCAAAACGAGCACAGCTAAAGGGTTCCCTGCAAGGTTCTGAARATTTTACTACGTCAAGAAATAGTGTGTTAATAAGAGGATATACAACGAAAAATTGTGTTCAATTTTTTTCACCACATTCTAATTTTAAAACTAAAGCGAAAATGATCATTTTCTTGAGAGCGCGCGAAACGTGATTTTGTATGGCCAATAAGTTCACTTTTCAGTTTACATTTTGAAACCTACATCCCACTAATGGTCATTTTTGATGATTATTCAGCTATCTTTGAAATACTTAATTATGATTCATGGTTTGAACAATGAAAAGAAGGMCTGGTTATTGAARGTTACCCATAACGCCTGRTTCTAGCTTCTWGTAGAAAGGRGGGAAAACACGACGGCGCGCGCGCAGGGCACAACAGAAAGGGCGGMAGTTTAAAAAATCACATCCAGCTCRAGCCGGGGAAATCGTCCCAATCTTTTTCAGATGTTTTGGCGAAGCAAACTTAATCGCGGAATTGCCGTTACTTATTTTTTCATTTTCTTTCTAGTTTTACTCAAGGGAAAAAAGGGCTCAGGAGTGGGTGGGGACCTGCAACTACTAAGTACCGTGACAGCATTTAAGAACCAGTTTCATTAAACGAAAAATCCAGATGCTAGGCTTTATTCTCAGTAAGGAATTACGCTACAAGAACTTAGGATTCTGRTTTTGGACTCCAATAGACTTTCGTTACTCCTAAAACATGTGAAGTCAAAAAACCCACAAAATAGATATCACATACACTATAATCAGTGCAAATATGTTCTACTTGCATTGCTCTGTTATGTCTATTTGACTTGTTTCATAGGTTTAATGACTTTACTCTAAAACAATCGACTTACGTTACTTTTGGTATTTACAAGTTTCAAAGTCTGATGTAAATAATGTACCTAGACAGCTTAATAATTTGTGGATCCACAATAATCATTACACACCAGTGAATTAGTACATGAATAATATACCAAACTATATTGTGTACTATTTGCATTGTATTTTTTGGTATTTTCCATGAAATTGAGTCACTTGGTTTAACAAATGAAAATTGAAAGTCAAAATAGATTTTACAGTCAGGGTTAAGTTGTAKGAAGGGRGGCTGAGATGCTATGCARAGCATCCTTARTRAGGATAAATTTATCTAGTGGCCGGMTAAAGTACAACCTGCTCAAGTTTGGTTTGCCATATTTWWWA